AGGAAGAAGATGCCCAGATAAGGGTCCATGTGAAATATAAAATCCAAATAAAGAGGGAGAAAGGAGATCCTAAAAAAACCCCAAACTTGGGTACCACCACCACCAGAGAAAGGGAAAAAAAAAAAAAAAGAAGCACAACTAATTTAGGGAAGGGATGGAGTTATATTCCACCCAGCAGTCCTGGTGTGATGAAGAGGCGGATGCCTCCTGAATCCCACCTTCTGCGAAGGATAACCAATCCTAAAGTAAGAGCTAAAGGGGGCTGGTGAAATGGAGCCGCAGAACTTCCTAAGAAGAGATTATCTACTTAATTAAAGATTTTTTTTCCCCCTAAGTCCTTCAGCCAATCAGGACTCAAGTGCCAGAGAGAGATTGAACTGATGAAAAGAACACCCCAGGTTCCTCGAAGACAAATGCACCACGAAAGGGATAAGAGGGAGGGAAAAGGAGGGGGGAAAGAAAAAAAGAAAGAAAAAAAAGAGTGAGAGGGATAAAGAAAGAGACAGCAAATCCCTTAAAGTAATCACTAGATTCAATCTCCAGCAGCACTGCCCTTGCTCTCCATTCCCGGCAAAGGCAACTGGAAGGGCTGCTTTTGAAGTGTCCTCTCCTTCTCCTGCCTTGGAGATGCTGCTGAGCTGGGGTGCCCTGGGTCCTCTGGGGTGGGGGGATTGGGTTCAGGCTGTCTGCATCTTCGGCTTGGGTCACAGATATGAGATCATTGTCTCTGCCTCAGTCTCCCCCAGAAGTTTAAGGAGGATCAGGGACAGTTCCTACCTTCATCTGCTTCTCCTTCATCATGGTGACCTGCTCTTTCTTCCCACCTCCTGTTTGCATCAGGCCATCCTCTCCCCAGAAGAAAGGCCTCTGGCTAAACCTTCCTATTCCGCCTTAATTTTTTGCTTTTGGCATTTCCTATAAAGTCCATAGGAGGGGGTCTTTGGTTTGGGTTAACAGTCTCTCACTAAGGGCTTATCCCAGGCCAGCGGCTGCTGGAGCTACTTAGAAGTGCCTCCAGCCTGTGGCAGCTGGCTACATGGGACATCCCACTTACTGTCACAGCACCCACCACAGATACCCTGACTGGCCCTAAAGCAACATGAGCAGTTGTGTCAGCATGTCCCAAAGCCATAGGAAGAGCTTCTCCACATTATGCAATTGAATTTTGTGCTGTGGACATGATCAGCCAAAACATGGGCTGAGACCAGTAAAACTCATTTCATCCAGGGCACAACTACCAAGCAGAAGTGCTGGACCCAGGCAGGATTTGAAGAGGACTGAGATGGTGTGGCTGAGCCATCAGGCAGGGCTGGCAGCAGGTTGAGCTTTGCTTGGGGACACTTCAGGTGGATGAAAGTCCCTTCTGGGTTGCAGAGTCTCAGGAAAGGAAAGCTGCTCAGCAGAGATTTGCTCTCTGATGGATTTTGGCCGTCTCACACTGAGCCCAGCTGTGCTGAAGTCAGGGAGCCCTGGCCAGGCACAGCACGTAGGACACTGCTGGCAAAACACTGCCTTTGCCCAGGGCGCTGCCTGTCCAGCCAGGGCGCTCCCTCGCCCCAAGGGTGGCTGGGCACTTTCTGGACACCTAGAGGAGAAGGAAATGCAGGTGGCAGCAATTTATCCCAGGGCCAGCTATGCCCCCAGCTGTGTCCTATTACAGCAAGACTGATGGTATTTGCACTCATTAAAGCCCCAGGTCTTGGAGCACTGAGCATTTTAAAAACTAAGGTGTTATGTATGCTGAGAAAAAGCTTGAGAATTTGTCTGGTAGAAAATAAAACCCCAAAAACGGAAAGGTGAGGGAAATGAGCCCTTTATTTATTCTTAAATTATTTTTTAAGAATACTATTTAAAATTGTTAATTATATTGAAACAAAATTTCAATGCTTAGATGTTTAGCACAGTTTAACAATTTTGATGATCTAATTCAAGTAGTGGAGGTAGCTGTGCTCCCACCCCTAGGCTGTCCTGGACTGAGTGTAGAGAGCAGCTGCAGAGGCTGATGCTGCCTCAGAGGAGTTGAAGGTGTGCCAAGGGGCTCAGTCTCACTGGAACAGCAGTGGTGAGATGCAGGAGATGCCACCATCCTGCATTTGGCATCTATTTCTGATGGTAGAAAGGGGAAGAATTTTTAGTTGTTTTTTGTAAATCTCCAACTATCTATTTCAAGATTCTTGAGCTGAAGTTTTCACATTTCTCAGGTCCGGCAGCAACAGCATTTTGAAATCATGCAACTCTTCAGATATTTCTTGACCAATTGGAAAGGAAAGGCTCCATTGGGTTCACTGGGGTGAGCTGTTTTTGTTACTCCACAACAAATTAAGTAAGAAGATTACAAAAAGTAGGAAAAAAATAATAGTAGGTGGATCCAAAATAAACAGATGCAATTAATTGTTTTTATTTGCTGTTGCAAGAAGCACCCAGGCCTTTCTCTGAGCTCACAGAAGCACCACCAGCTTTGGAAACATCAGCCTCCTCTGTCAACATCTAATTTCAATTAAATGCAATACTCACTTTCCTGGAAACAAGCCTGTTTTTCAAACCAAAGGAGCTGGAGGCAAAGTCTGAAACAAAACTGTTCCAAACATGTTTCAAAGTATTTAATTACAGTTCTAAAAAGCTATTAAAAAGATTCTAAGAAGCACTGTCTAAAGAAGTGAGATGGGAAATTGTTTATCATGTTCCTAAAATTTTGTTATTGTTACTGACAAAAGCTCTGTAAATTTACTAAATGAATGCAGAGAGAAGTAAAACACATTTTATAGCCAGATCTGGAACCTTACCTCACTTGACCCGCTGGCCAATACAGATGTTTTCTGACCTTTGCACTGAGTACTGTGATGTGTGTTTGAGTATTTGTTCATTTCCCAGAATGGCAGGCAGGGCTTGAGGACAACAGCAGATAGAGAACCTGCCACCATCTGCAGTAATTACTTCCAGTTTATTAAAAAACCAAAAAAACCCCAAAAAACAGCAACAACAAAAAAAAAAACCCACCAAAACAAAAACACACCAAATTTTAATATAATATGTCTAAGTTTAATTTCCAGAGTACAGAGAAAATCTGAACTATCCTAAAAGAACTTGTACAAGTTATCACAGAAGTCAGAGAAAAAGTGAAAAAGAAAACCTGTAACACTCCTGCTTCCTTCTACCCCAGTACCAATGCAACAGATGGATATGGAAAAAAAAGTTAAGAAATGGGGGTAATAATTCCATGTATGGCTCACAGATATCTCAACAGTTTCTTGGTGTCAATGTAAAGTGCTCAAAGAACAGATTTCTTTAAATAGAATTGGCATTGAAAAGGTCAAGAAATAATTTGACATTTCTTCTGTTAAAAGATATGCAAATGTATGAGATCAAAAGAAAATGAAATTAATCTTATCTAGGCAACACACTAGAATTCAAACCTGAAAGGCCTGAAATAGTCACAGGAAGGTCTGGCTTCCAGTGCAGTAAGTGAATTTCAATTGTTTTGACTGTAGCTTTGCCTTTTGGACCAACTAAATGCATCTTTAATAGTGCCTAAGGTCTGTCAAAACATCCACCAGTAGCCCAAGAAGGAGCACATGCTGCTCACAGTCCTGTACTGGACATGCCCTGTAGTATTCTGCTTTAGTCAGGTGGCTCCAGAAACAAAACCAAATAAAGGCTGGGGAAATGCAATAGCTTTCATGAGATCAACTAACATGCAATGGAAGCAAACATGGACTTTTCAGCATTTTGGCTCTGAAAAGGCAAGAAAGGTGCTGGTGTGCCCAGAAGCCTCTGTGTTTATTATTGTGTTTAGCTGTATCAGTCTGAGATTGTGCCATTAAAGACAGTATTGACACACCAGAAAATGCCAACAGTGATGCGACCTCTTTGCTGTAAGCTTGATTTTGTAACTTAGCACTGCTCCCCCACGCTGTTCTGTGCATGCAGAGCAGCCTCCTGTGAGGTCTGCTTGTGCTTTACCAGTGCTGAGAGCATCCTCACATTTGTAGGTTCTCCATAAGGTTCATGCAGGGACAGCTCAGTGGATCCTTATCCACTGCAGTGAACTGTGGGATTGGACACATCCATCATAGATCATAGGAAGTGACTTGACCTGAGGAAGTAGACCTGAGGAACCCACAAAAATCTACTTGGGGCCAGCTTAAACAGGTCCACTGTTGCACCAGAGATATATATTTTCTTTCCTTTTCAGGCTCTCAGTGCTCCCTTCAATAATATTTGGAATATTTGTAAACAAAACTACATTTCAAACTGTAATAATGAAGCATTAAACAGACTGCTCAGTGACATGCTTCAAACTTCTTTAGCTGAAATTGTTCGCAAGCTCTGCAAGAGCCCTAAATAACACCAGCTAACTTACAACTGGATCTCCTTCACCCAAGTCAGTTTGTTTGGCTCTAGTGCAGAAAGACTGGTTTGGAGGCCCTTTTGTGAGGCTGACAGGAGGAGGTTTAGCTGAGGGATATTTCCAACCCTGTGATTTTTTCATCTCTGATTTTCTATGCAGTCTAATGACTGTGCAGCTCTGGGTTACCCTGTAATTTGTCCCTCTGACGAGGCAGCCTGCTCTGTCAAAGCCGGCAGATGGTGCTCCCAGCCTGGCCTGTGCTGGGCTGCGGCTCAGCACTCCTGTGGAAGAGCATCCCTGGATTGCAGGGGTGCAGGGAAATGCTGCTCTTCTAGGCATGGCCATGTCCAGCACAGACAACAGGCTCTGCACAAGATCCAAGCTTAAAAATTCTCCTTTCCTCCTTCCTGTTTCTCCAGACAGAGGACCTTGAGGCCTCAGAGTAGGTAAAGTCCAAAGATTGATTCTGACTGGCTGTGTCACAGCAGTGGTGTGGAGCTGTTGGTGGCTGTGCCCAGAGCTGGAGGTCAGTGCCACGGTGCAGCTGCCACCTGTGTGCTCTCCACAGCCAGCCACTGCAGTGGCCGATGAGGCTCCTCCCAACACCTGGCCTTAGCTCAGGGATGAGCAGATGCTCTCCAACTCTCAGCAGGAAGGTGGATGTAAGGCTGTCAGCAGTATGCACAGATCTGTGTCCACACTTCACTGATGTGCCTTTTAACAGGTCCTGGAACAAACCCTAAGGTCAGAGACCAGCAAATCTGGCTCAGCTCTTTGCCCTTCAACAGCAATGAAAACTGCACTGGGGTAAGTCCAGTAAGGTCCTTCCTCTTTGCATACAGCTGACTATCATGACTAACCTTCTGCATTTATCTGGAATGAGTCAGACCGGTAAAATCATGAGACCAGCTTGAAAATAATACACAGTGCAAGCTATTTGTGTCCAAGTCTTTAATGTACTCTTGGGGCTTGTTTCTTCTGGAAATGGCAGAGCTGGGAACATGCTGTTCTCTTGTAAAAAAGGCAAGCTGGGCTCCAGGCAATCGGACTTTCCAATGAACACCCAATGTCAAAAGACTTGCCAGAAATTATGGGGGTAGTGACACTGAGCAGGCAAATAGGGCCTTTCTGTGTTGAGCAAAACTTGCTGAGTGTGAGTCCGGGCTGTTTGCCTGAGAGATCTCACATGTTCCATGTTTGTACATTAAAATACTGAATCCTTTTTACTCTGTTCTTAGCTGAGAACTCCACTTGGCCTTGCGTGTAATACACGTTACTACTCTTCACATTGGGAGTGGCTGCATTTTAGTGGTGAACATCAGATCAGCCCATGGGGTGTGGTGGCTCCCAGTGAGCTGTAAGGAAAGCTGAATCATCTCCCCATAAAACCCAGGGTGCAGGATCTGGCTCCAGCTCCAGCGTTCCCCGGTGTCATCTGCACTGACTAGGGCTATTTCTTTTGTCAGAATAGTCAGCCAGTCCTAATAAATGGTGATGATGATGATGAGTTTGGAGGCTGAATCAGGGAGCCAAGATGAAGAAACAGGTCCAAAATGGTCAGGATAAACTGGCACCACAAAATCTATCACCAATCCTTTGCAAATGTCATTGCTGACAGAGCCACTATCAGGCTTTCTGTCACAATCTTAAACACAAAACATTTTAATGACGGTTGTTGGAAAAATGTTACAGACAGACTGTTGTTGGAAAACCCTGACCCATTTTATAAGTGTCCCAAGAAAGAAGCATAAATAATAAAGCATTCCTTTTGCTTGCCTGTTTGGAACAAGCCCCTTGGCTTTCATACTGCCAGCCTGGTCAAGGTTTCACCACTGATGTGGGCCACCACAAAGAGGTGCTTTGTTGAAGCACAACACTCTCTGAAGGAAATGTTTCTTTTCCCTAAATGAAACATCACCTAAAATGAACCAGTATTTCAGTTACAAGTTAAGAGCATGGTCTGTGTCCTAATCAAGATTTTTGCTGAGTCCTAAAAACCAGAAATATGGAGAATGAGGGGAAAAAATTGTGGCTAGAAATAATTAGGGTTTTTTGAGTGCCACTGTTTTGAATCACAGGTAGAAAAGTGGGCTTTGTGCTGTCAGGTGCTGCTGAGGGGAGTCAATACATGGTGACAAACTTCTGGCTTGTTATATTCATTTGTCACAACTGACAGCAGTCAAGCCTACTTTGTATAAATCTTTTACAAAGTTGTTCTTATCTCACCTCCATCGCTGCAGCATCCCAGGACATGGGCTACTGAAACCCCTCAGTATACTTATGAAGTGTCAGCTGTTGACTAGAGGCTGGTAACTGAGGCATGACATAGATAGTGACTTGCCCAGGCTTAAGCAGCCAAATGGTGTCTCATATGTGCATCTGAGCTGAAAACAAACCAGGATATAGCCTGTTAATAGTGAGAGGAGGGAGCTGAGGGTGCCCATACAACAAATCGCTGCTCAGAAGGAGGGTACCTTATAGCAGAAGATGCAAGAACATCCTGGCTTCTGGACAGAGGTTGCTATGAGCTGAGACCCCAGTACACTGGGATGGCATTGCCTCAGCAGTACAAGAAGATCCTGTATAAAATCAGCTCTTTACAAACACTGGCATTTATATGGGGACCTGTATCTGGTGTCAGAATGAAAGTCAACATCAAAGTTTGCACTGGTTTCACATTAACATATGCAAAGTAGGAATGAGCCTTACTTTGTGGAGGAAAAAGTATTCCTTGCCATGAGAGAAAGCGGCAAAACCCCTCAACCACCACATTAGAAAACACTATTTATATAGTTTCTTTATACAAATGTTCATATTGATCCATCACAGAGTGGTATTTTTTGGAATAGTGTACTTTACATAGCTTTATCCTTACCCATTGCCACTGTGAAAGACAAGCTAACTCCCAGACTTTGTGTTGTCAGATTGAAGTACCTTTTTGGACACAGAGTCAAACCTTCCCTCTCCTCAGTTTTGAGAGATATGGCAACATAATTCAGACTTCATGCCATCTGGGTGCCCGAAGGGAGTCTGTGATTCAGACACATTGGGCCTGCAGTTCCCTGTCCGACTCCAGGGTGGCGATGCTGCCTCAGCTCTTACTCCGGCTAATAACGCTCTCTGTGCACTCTGCGAATGGATTTTTTTATTAGCACCACTGAGTGTTCTGGAAGATGATTGCATATGTCAGGAGTCATTCTTACAACCACGGTCTGCCTGGTTTTGCTACATCTGAAGCCTTGCGTGTAGCTGCTGCAACATCCCCTACCTGCCCATGGATTGTAACCAGGGGAAGAACAGATTGTCCTAAGAAATTACACGTGTCTTGTTTCTTTTTATTATTTTTTATTACAGATGGTGTCTGTCATTGGTAGGTGGTTATGCTAAGAGGAGATAACAGATCCCACCCAGGACACAGGCTCTTCTAATTCCAGCTCAGCCTTTGATCATGGATAAATTATTCTTCTTTCACATGCTTCAGTCTCTCTCCCCATTCAAATGTCTGTTTAGACTGTAAGCTTTTGGAGACAGTGGGTGTCTCATAGCGTGCAGATACAGAATGTAGTAATGAAACTGTACAGCACGCAGAACAATGGAGACCTTGATCTTGATGGAAGCCTTCACCCATTATCTTAATAGAAGCATCCAAGTCTATATTTGAAACAATTTATCTGAACAATCTTTTGGCCATAATGACTCCAGATCAGACACATGATAAAAAGTGACAGAGGAAATTGTGTATGTAAAGCCATTTTATGTCTTTGAAATGACTGAAGATGTAACTTTTGCAGTCCGAGTGGAGGTTAGTGCCCTCCAAGTGGCAGCGCTGCACCTCAGACACAAAGTATGTGCCATTTCCATTGCCGGCTAGAAGCTTTCTTCGGAGTAGGGAAAAGAAATTAACTCCAAGTCTTGGATCCCAAAGGGCAATTTTGTAGCAGTTGTGGCTCTCTGCAGGGAGCAACTCCTTAGAGGGCTGAGTACTATACTGGCACCAGAGAGGGAATTTGTACCTCCGTTATGAGGGAACACTCTACCCATCTGAAGAGGGAGCAAGAACACAGGTTTGAGGAGACTGGACCTTTCATCCCTCCAGTCCCTTTTCCATTTTAAGAACATGCTAAAAACACCACGGGAAATAGGAAGCGTCAGTTCTTAAGGAAAACTCCCTTTTGACTAAAAACATCTCTCAAAGGACATTTCAATGGGGAGGTTTTGAGCATAAGTAGTGTGAGGACCATTAATACTGTTTCACCATCACCTCGAGAGTGAACTTCCCATCTTGTGTGGCCGAAGAGCCAGTGTGCAGATCCACAGTGTACCTCACCTCCAAGAGTAAATCTTCCAGCTTTGCTGGGCTGCAAGGAGCACATCTGTGTGCTGCCTCTAACAGTTTATTTCATTGGTGTACTACTACCTCTCTTAACCAAGATATCATTCTGTCATTCAAAAGACCTGGTAGTGCTTCTTTAGGCCAGTTTGGTGTCTTATGTGTCTCCTCCCCAACTCAATAGACACATATTCACACTGTGCAGGATCCTCCTGGCAACACTAGGCATACCAAAGCAACAGTGAACCTCTGTTCCTCATTAACTAGCCACTTTCTAATCCAAGCCTTGCTATTTTTATCCAGCTGAGATTTCTTCACTCCTTTATTAGATAAATAATGTGGCAATCTCTCAAATGTCTGGCCAAAGGCAAAACAGTTTGCAGTCATTTCTGGCCCTACTGCCAGAAATCAAATGGCATCTTGCTTGCTAAGCTGATCCCACTAATAGGTTTTCCTCTCCTATCATCTGGATATCAGGACTCTGTCAGCATTTCCACTAAACTAGGGGTCTCTTTCCCCTTCTCTCCCAAAACAACTGCATTAATGACATAGTAGAGGAGAATTCAGCAGCATCCTACTATGTTCACCATCTTGCCAAACACCAAAGGAGCAAGTGCCTTATGTGCCTCAAGGGAGGTTGTAGGAACTCCAAAAAATCACTCAGTCCTCTGAGATTTCTGTCCTCAATGTCACAACAAATGGGAACAGTGTCCAGTGCCCTGTCCTCTTGTGACCTTACCCCCAGTGTGCCCTAGAGGTGATACCTCTCATTGAGAGCTGTGTGACTTTTCTGGCTTGGACCACCAGCAGACACAGCTGGGGCTTCCTCTGAGGTGTGTCAAAGCACACACATCCAAAATGTGCTAAGCCCTACAATAACAGGGAGAAGGTGGCCCCAAATATGTTGTTTGTAGCATCAGCTAAATGCTAATTTGGAACTGATTTTCCTCCCACTTTGCTGGGCTATCTTGACAGAATAAAAGCCAGAATTCCTGAGGAACTAGAAATTACTACCAAGTTTCCAAGGGCAAAACTCAGAAAACATCTTAAAAAAAAAAACCAAACCAAACAAAACAAACCAGTCATAAAAATGTCTGGTTTCTGAAAAATAAAGAACCCCTCCCCTATGAAAACTCTGCTTCACACTGTCTTTGGTAGGATTTCCAAAATCACCGGTATATACATAAAAGCCTTGAGCTGGGTGTCCTTTATGCAGGGCTAAGATGGTGGATCATTCTCTCATGGTCAGTCAAATATGTTAATAAATTTATTTCATGCCTAGGGGCTCAGCCTGTGCATTTTAGAGTTTGTGCTGAAAGTAGCACAAGGTGGAAACTACTATGCTGAAAAAAGGTAGACTGACCTCCACTGAACCTCTGCTATGCCTTGTCCCTCCTTTCAGGTGGGGGGATTTCTAGGGAATGAAGGGCAGCTGAGCAGTTGGACTTTCCTATAAAAGGAGACTATGGGGGTAGATCATCTGGAAGACTTGGAGATGTGAGTATCGATGATATATATGTACTAGAAACTACAGAAAGGGTGGCTTGCAGCAAAACTGTAATGCAGGTTTGGACATTAAGCCTCAGAAGCTCTGCGGTTTGGGCCATTGTTTAAGGCTGGTAAAGCAGCTGCTAGAAAAAAGGGGAAATGATGAATTTGCATACTACTTATTATAACTGTGGAGGGGAAGGGGAGCAAAGCAATGCATGGTCTGCTCTCGGGGAGGGAAACATACTTGGTTGAGTAGAGACCTAGCTTTTTGAATTTTCCCTTGTTTCTATCTCTTTTCTGTAAGTAACTAGGTATGCTCTGGATAGTGTAAAGGAAACTTTACCACTCTGATACTGGGAGCCTGAAGCAACCCTGAGTCCCCAGAGCCTATAAATGTTTCTGAGAGCTCAGGGTCTCCTGCTGTAGAAAACAGTGCCCTTGTCCCTAGCCTTACATGCCATGAAGGCTTGTGAAAGTCTCTCTTCTGATGATATGGCAGTCTGACCTCCCATGTGGCCTTTCTCTACTTATTGTTGGGATATCATCAGGGTCTAGAAGTTTATTAATCACTTCTGGGGACAGAGCTGCTATTTTAAGTGCCTTTATTCCCTCTTCCAGAAGCACAGGAAAGCTATGGAGCCAGACCAGAGACACTTCTCTGAGGGGAAGGAATGGATGTAACTGGAGTTTAACTTGAGTAGGTGTATAAATTTCCTAATACAGGTTCCCTTTTTAGGTCTTTGAACATCTTAATAGTTCATGGGTAGGCTCTTCCCTATGCCAGAGCAGGTCTGCTGTGGGATGTCTTTGAGCAAGCCAGGAGTATTTCTCAGCTGATGACCTCTCAGATACTGGGGTAGAGGGGCAGAGCTCCAGGAAGTGACATCAGAGGTGCTGGAGACTGAGGCCATCCTTGGATGAGGTCTGTCACTGACCTGCTATCTTGGTTGGGTGATGTCATCCTTAGTGAAGGTTGGTGTGCTGGCAGTGCCTGCTCAGGACACTTCACTGAAGTAACCCCTTGTTCCTCACATGTCAGAGAGTGTGGTGTTCATCAAACAGCCATTTGCCTGGCACCACTCTTATCTGAGGGTCACTGTTCTCAGGTTTCCGTGCTCAGCCAAAGATTTGGCAACTCCCTGGTGCTTGTCATCAAACAGAAAATCTGGCACTTGTGTTAGTGTGACCAGTTATTCCTTTAATGGGTGCAGCAGGACCACAGGCTGCAGCAGGGGTTTGTTGCATAGGGCTAGGAGCAGTGGGGCTTAGTAGTGAAGAAGGAACAGGAAGATGTGGAAGAGCTTGCACATCTGATTGGTGGCAGAGTGGAATAAGCTCCAGTTCATGTTTTATGTATCAGAGGGAAAAAACCACGTTTTTAAAATTCTCATTAGACTTTTACAGGGGTAAAGGAGAGTGAGAAATTTCTGCCCTATTGATGGAGAAGGTGATATGCTCACCTTGTTGCATACAGAGCCAGACCAGAGACACTTTTCTGACAGGAAGGAATGGAGGTAACTGGAGTTTAACTTGAGTAGGTGTATAAATTATCTCATACAGATTCCCTTACTCTGTAATTAATTTAGGTTCTAAAGTGATGGGATTTAATCTTAGTGCTCTTGCTGGCTCCCCTCTGGCATTTCTGGCAATATAGCCTTGGAGAACTCTCACTTGATACCTTAAGGCTTTCTAGATGTCACAAGAGGTGACATCTGTTTAGGTTGCTGGCAGCAGCAGTGGGGAAGCTTTAGAGGGCACTGGAGTCATGCCATCAGCTGCCACACTTGCTGGTGCATGGGGAGAAGTGAAGGCATGTTGCATTCTCAAGCTGGGAGGTTTCTGCTAGAAGTGTGAGGATTTGACAATGTTTTGGCACTGGTAGAGAGGATTAGAAATTAGTTCCTCTAGCTCTACAGGTGCTTACACCCCAATGGCTTTCCTTAAAGTTTGAGGCAGAAGTGGAAGTAACAAAGCTAAGCAAAGTTTTCAGGACTGTCTCAGCAGGACTGATATTGCCCATTTCACACAGATGAAAGAGATTAGAGGAAAAAGGAAAGCAAGGATTGAGAACACTGAATGAATAAACTTTCATTACTAATATCATTAAAGCATAGCTGAGCCAGCTCATTTCCCTGTTCTTCAATCACACACTATTTGTCTTCTTTCACTTGAGCACTAAACAAATCCAACTGCTGTAGGCAAAGTGTAGGCTCAGGAGGTCCCACAGCCTGAGGGACCTTCTTTTGCCCTCAAAATGAGGTGCTGGGCACAAAAGCAAACATTTCATTATCTGCCCATGCAGGCAGGTGACAGTGGGAATTCAGCTGCTGATTGCAAATGTTTGCTGACCACAGCTTGCCAGCTCCAGCTGCCAGCACCCAGAAAGCTCTCAAAGCCAGAACCTCACCAGTGATGACAATGGTGGGGGAGGGAAACACTGGGAAAACTCTGTTGCATGTCTTAATAAATCGTAAAGTTGCTTATATCAGTGTGCTGGTACTGAAGGAGTTACTGGAGGCAATAAGCTCATCAAGCAGGAAGTTTTGCTTCAATGGCTGGGCATGAGCTAGCACTGTATTCATGCACACTTGGAGGTCAGTTGTGCATGAAGGATTTCAGTGATCAGGCTGAAACAGCACCAGAAAATCTGGAAGAAAATTTCACCTGTCAAAGCTTTTGTTTCTTTAGTTTAATCACTATTGCCGTGTTTTGGACAGATAGTTTTGAAAATATAATCTAGTGGCAAGAGACTGCATTTGATTCTCAGCTTTGACATGAATGTTCTGGGCTGCCTCTTGCAAGGCAGCTCTGTGCCTGTATTTATAGATGGGGATTTTGCCTCTTGGGTGATAAACTCTCTCTGGGGAGGAGCTGCAAAATTGTGTGATCTGCTCAAAATTTTCAGTACTTACATGGAAGAAGGGCTTCACAGAAGGTGAGGTTATTGGTAGTTATTAAAAATAGAAGTTCAGATATAATCTGGCTGTTCTTCTATAGCATCTTCAAAGCATCTGCTGCTGCCTGTGCTTAGTCAGAAGATACCTTTGGTCTGGCACAGTAAAATTAGTTTTGTTGCAATAGGTAGTCAAACAACTTCACATTCTTTTTATAGATGGAAAAATCTGGCTGTTGCTTAATTGGAGGTACAAACTTCAGAGCCCTGGAGAGATGGGAATGTAGATTACCTGGAGGCAGATTAAAAGAGAAGCTTATTAAGATAAATTGTCAGGGGTCTCGTTTATTTGCAGCAGTGTGACTTCCAACACTTGTTACTTTTCTGCTTTAGAAGTGATGAGTTTGCACAGATTCTCCGGACATCTGTGAAAGCCACAAGGCATGTGGAGATGCTTTAGTAAAACAGCAGACTAGAGCAATGCCCATGTTTGCAGAGTGACTAAGTAGCAGAGTTGGGTCTGCCAGTTCATGGTCCCCAGCCATGCATTGAAGCATGAAGGGAAGTCAACATGTGGATGATGGAGCAGAAAGCACTTACGGCTCTTATGTGGGACCTTCTCCTTTTGAACAGATCTTGCCCTTACAGACATGCACGTGGTTCCTGTCAAGTCCCTCCACAGGGTTGAATTTGACTGAGTTTCCTATAGTATATTTCTGGGGGAGGAACATGCACCCCACAGCTACCAATTCTCTGTGGCAAACAGTAGCATGGGCCTTTCACAAACCATTTAATGGTTTGTTTCATCACAGAAGCTGTCCTGTGCTAGCACTGTCTGTCCTAGCTGGATCTGCAGGTGCCACTATGAAGTTATGCGTGCCACACTCTCTTTAACATGTTTTTCCCAAACAGGTAGTATAAGGTCCTATTTTCTTTGATATGGGGAAAAACTCAGATTATAACAGTCAAACAGCTCTTTGGCAGCCAGGTTATTTCTCAGTCTCTGCTGCTGGTTTCTCTGCAATGGTACTCTTGTAATGGCTATCTTGCAGTAAGAACATTTTTGGAGCAGTGTCCCTATCTCCTCCAACAGGAAGAGCTGCCTAACCCTGTCCTCTAAGCCACAGAAAAGCTATTTGCAAATACATCGTGAAGGAGGCAAATTTTCAGTGGTTATAAATCTGAGCTTTTACTGAGCTTTTATTTATGCCAGCTAGTCTACAGTGTCTCAGTACTTTACACTGAGGACAAGGGTAATTATCTTTAAGCTAACTCACTTTCTAAGTGGGCACTGTTCTCTTTCACTGCTGCACTGTGGTCTCCTCATGACCAGGAATCAGTGCTTTCTCTGCAGTAGTCTTCTCACAGGAAGGAATTGAGTGCATTTAATAAGCTAATGTGTTCTGAAGTGGAGTTTGTGTTAAAGATCCAATACCTGATCACAGACTGATCTTATAAATATTTACTATTTTATATGCCTGGAGCACTCTTATGCATTTAAATATTGACAGTGAAGAGCAAGCACACTTATAAGAATGTGTGTGGTACCAGCCTCGTGCTAGAGCTGATGTCATGAGGCCAGGAAAGTTCTCTGCCCTGTCTCTTGGGGGCAAGAAGAGGCTGGAGGCCATTGGCTCCGACACCATACACAGTGCCCAGGCAAACATTTGGGTTGGAAATGTCTGTATGTGCTGGCCACATGGGAAGGAGGTGTATCTTTAGGGTGCAACTAAAGGGCAAAGAGGCTGAGCTTAGTGCTCTCCTGTGCCCCAGCTTAGTGGCTCTACTGCTGCGTGGCAGAGCAGCACTGGGCAGGATACGCAGAAGTGTTTCTCCAGCCAAACAGAAATCTATGACAGCACAGCCCATACTGCAGCTGAATGAAAGTAACTCACCAGGGCAGGGAAAACTCAGCTAAAGGGGTACTGACAAAGATGTGTCAGGCAATTAGTGATCCTTGCAGAATGTCCTGTACCTGCTCACATAGAAGAAGGAGCTGACAGTAAGAATGCTGTTAAGAAATTAGATGTGTCCAGTTCTCATGGCAGAAGCATTTATTATCAGTCTGTGCCGTTCTGTTAGCTCAAGGCATCCAGATAAGGATAAAGGCAGAGAACAAGCTAGGAGAGCTGTGCCTCAACCCATCAATCATTCAAAAGCATTATATATGTCCAATTGGAATTTATTTGAGTCTTGAGAAAAAAAAAAACAACTCTGCATGCAACTCATAAGGTGGCTTAGATTCACTGTTTCAGTGTCTTTCATTGCACAGGAGTTTTGTTATGGCAAGGGTTTCTGTAGTAGCAAAGGATGGGATACTGTGCTCTGGTTTTCCTCAAAGGCCTGAAGACCTGTCTTGGGAACTTCAGAGAAACAGGAATGGCTGAACTCTAAGTAAAGCAGGTAAGATGGAAGGTTTATATGACAGCTCTTTGTCTTAAAACATCCCTAACCATGCCCTGGCTTCCCTGCGCTGGATGTGGAACATGAAGACTTTTGTCCACAGACGACAGCAGAAAACCCAAGAAGGAGGAAAGCAGAATTTTCCCATTTCCTGGAGGATTAAGAGACCTGCACATCATCACGTAGGAAGTCAGCAGCAGAGTGGGAACCAAACAAATCCACTAGTAGTGATTCAGACTAGAGGCTGGCCCAGCCCATATAAAACTGCATCATCCTTCTGACTGGATAAATTCCACTGTGAGAGCCACCTGCCAGCAGAAAATGTGGTCATCATAACTGAAACACTGCTTGAAACCAGAAGGAGAAAAAAAGACATTCTGGACATTTTGAAATTTCCTGGTTTGGGTATTTCCAAAATGAAGTGCTTCTAGATGTTGCTTGGAAAAGTATCTTCAGCTGTATTTGTGTGCAAAGGTGGTGATCTTATATACTATTACATGGAACAGGAGTCAAATCAAAGACAAAGGAAGGCTAACACTTAAGGCTGAAACTGCCTCATGAACAATCAACCACATAAGATAGCTAGAAGCTTTTTTTCTGTTTTCAGATAAATCCAAAAAGTTTTTGTAAATTTTTTCTTCAATTTTTCACTTTTCTGAATCCAAATTAAAGCTAGTTGTGAAAATTTCCCTTGGCAAAAATTTCCCTTTTTGATGCTTCTCTTCTATAACCTCTTATGCTCTGCCAGCATATGACTCAGCTTAGCTGGCATTGGAGAGGCTAGAGACAAAGAAAAATCTCATAAACACAGAAAATAAATCCCACACAAATATTAAAACAAAGCTACTGCATTGTTACTAGCAGTTCTAGAGACTTATTTCCTGAAAATTCTCATGTCTGCAGTATCTTCCACAGCATCAATCCCAGTATGTTACGTGGTCATTAGTCCAAAGAACTTATTTATGAGTCTGAGATGGCTTTGTTAGTCAGGAGTGGCAAACTCAGTTATGAGCCTTTCCCAAGGATGCAGTATTTATTGTGTGCCATCAAACATCTTGATAATTTGATGGTTGGCCTTCTTAGAGGCTTGGAGAGCTCAAACAAAGCTTGGGGAAGAAAACTGGATGATCTGGAAGGAATGACATGGAGGAATGGGAGTGGTGCCTCCAAAGCTGGGTGGGATCATGGGATCCCACAGTGATTCCAGCCCTCTGTGTCCCCATGCTGTAACAGGGGCTGTCATGAAAGCAGAATTTAGAGCAGGGTAACTACTGGCAACTGCTCCTGATCCCGCTGTACATGCCTGACATGTCATATTTTCCATCAGCAGCAGCCAGAGAGGCTGTTTGGGAGAGCCTGCGAGCTGTTTGAGGCTGTCCAGGTCTGCTCCACTCAGACCCGTGTCCATGAACCTTTTGTATGTGTGTCAGGGGGCACATCTTTGCTCTTACCATCTGGTTATGGACCTTGTTTGCTGTGAGTCTCCCTAAAGCATTGGTGAACCTGTTGATGCTGTGGAAATCGGAAACAATTTCCAGAAGTTAATCACCCCCAGGAGGAAAAACAAAAGTATGCTTATATATCAAGTGCATTTCAAATATTCAGTAATTCTTGGGGCATTTTAAAACTCCTTAGCTTCAAACAAGGAAGCTTGGTCATAGGCCAAAGCCACCAAGATGTCTCAGATGACATTTCTCACTCTGAGCACTCAGAGCCCATGCTTACAGTTGAGGACTCTCCTCATTAATATCCTGGTGTGGAACTCATTGCACCAAACTCATGATCTAAAAGACAGGCATTCAAAAACTAATCCAAGTATCCGTGTATAGAAGTTCCAGGTGCACCACCAGCAGATGATTCACCCTTTTCTAAAACAGGTATCTCAGACTGCTGCTGTGAGTCACCATGAGCACCACCTCCATGTCTCCCCTGACTAGAGGATGCTTATTTAACCAAAGTGGATTTCACACATATTTAAAATTGCTGAAGTTAATTAAAACCTGTCACCACCATCTTTGCCCTGTGAAAAGACACACAAATTCTGAGTCACCTTGAAAGACTTTTGGCTGAAGGGGGATATTGGACAGGTGAGTGAAGAGCAGCCTGATGTTCCACACCTGCTTGAGGTGAGAAAACACTGTGACCTCAGTCATAGTTGTAATCGTTCAAGGATTTTAAAATAATTATCTTGGTTTTCTAATGATGCACTTACCAGTGACCACCCAAGAACAACGTATCCAAGCACAATTTCTTTGGGATTGAGGATCAGGCCAAAGCTATTTTAGCTTAGTAAAATGTGTGATATTTGAATCACCAGTATGTAATTAGATAACTCAAAAAGACAAGGAAGAAGGGAAATACTATGATTGTGCATCTCTTCCTGTTTCTGAACATTAAAAGTCACATGGCAGGGGTTACTAGAATTATGTGATTAGCTTAGAAATTTTTAATTTTATATAACTGTATATGCGACAGAATGTTAGACTTCTGTCTAGATGAAGGAACATGTAATTAAGATGATTTTGTCAAAATGACATCTTAGCATAGAAGGTGCCTGAAGGTCATAGGTAGTTTCAAAAAGGATAGGCATTTCTTCTGTTTGAGTGATAAAGACCAGAGTTTTGTAAAAAAGCTATTTTAGGAGAACTGAAAAAAAAAAGTAAAACAAACAGCTGTGTTTGTTACAAAGCCAAAGCTGCATGTAAGAGCTGTCGTCACTGTGTTCACTATTATGAAATACTATTTGTTCTGCAAAGTGTTGTATCTTTCCATGCAGTTTAAAAAGAAATAAAAGACACAATTTTACAAGGTGGTATTTTTTTTTCAGTTAAGAATTAACTGAATAAAAGTGAGTGAGGATTTGATTGTTTTTGCATGTCAACTTTCAACACACAGTTACAAAACTGCCAGATTATAACATAGTTAACATTTATATGAATGAAAATCGTACTTTTAAGCCTCTTTCCCAAGTCTAAGTATTCAGCTTTATGAGTGATACTTTTATTTATGTATGCGTATGTAGGTCCGTACTTGAGTGTGGCTACATGCGTCCACACGCATACTGAATGACAATGTCTTGCCTTCCGGATTTTTTTCTACCGTCTTTTTAAAGCTAAAAGCGGAGCTCGTTTTCAAGCACGAGTCGAAGCGCTCGCACTTCCCACGCCTCCAGCATCTGGCTCCTTTTTTGGGGCAGCCCAGCGCGGAGCGGGGCGGTGCCGGGCCGGGCCGGGCCGGGCGGGATTGGCCCGGCGCGGTCAGGCGCCGTGGGCTGTTGCGCACACGCGGCTCCGGCCGCGGTGCCCGGCAGTAACCCGGGGAAGCCCGGCCCACTGCGGGTGTTCCCCCGATCCCTGCCCGGCCTCCCGCCTCCGAGGGCGCTGCTCGGCCCCGGAGCCAGCTCCCTCAGCGGCTGGGCTGGGGCGAGTGCCCGCCCTGCGCATGCCGCCCCACCGTCCCTCAGCGCTGCAGGGCGGCTGCGGTGCCATCGCCTCCTCTCCTGGGACTTTGTTCCCTCTTTCCAAAAGTCCCCACGGGCTTGTGGGGCCCGCATGGAGGGTCAGCAGCCGCTGGTGTTCTCTGGCTGTGGTTGGAGCGCGTGGCTTGGAGCAGAGCTGGTACCCAGTCCTGCTCCTGGGCAGTTCTGGGGGGATTGCTGCCTGCCCTAGGACACCCTCCCTTGTCCTGCTCCCATGGTCCTGGGCTGGACACTCGGGGTTCCTCACAGCTGTGTTCACTGAATCCCACTCCTGGGGAGTCAGTGGATTGCAGCTGGAGCATGGTTTCTCCTAAGGATCACATTGGCATCTTCTGCATGTTGTGTTCAGAGCAAAAAGATGCAGCAAACTCTTCCCTGATAGCCTGCAGCCCTCCCGGTTCTCCCTCCCTTGGGTCTGAACAAGCAGGCACTTGTTTGCTTGCTCTCTCCTACCCAACAGAGCTGGCTTGTACATTAACTCTTCCTTTCCTCTCTCCTTCTCTGGTGGGTGGGAAATTTTCAGAGGAGCAAAGTTGGGGTGCACTGGAATTGCAACCCAAATGTGCAGATTACATAGGAAACCAGGAATAGAAGTGGAAATACTTCTAGGCAGTGACCTAAAATGTTGAGCTGGCACTGCTGAAGGGCTTGATAGTGTAGGAAAACATATTTTGGGCAGGGGATTTAATAACAGTCTTTAACAAAGAGGGAGAGGTTGCGATTGGAGTTGCACTCATTAAATCCAGACAGAGGGATCATTAACTTTATTTTTAGGCTTGGCTGAATAATAGGGAGTTTTGAAGACTTGACTTGCCTTCTCTGTTTCACTTGTTTTAGGAGGGGCTGTGCTGTCACAGCTGGGATCAAAAGTGCACCAGATTACGAGAAGCAGCACCTCTCTGTCACTTCCAGGGACATGGTGCTGTGACCAGCTGATGAGCAGGAGCATTTGCTTTGCTTTTTTCTACAGCTCAAAGCAGCCATATGTCAAATTGGTTGGGTTGGTCACATACCTCCAGGTGGAAGAACACAGCTGCTGGATGAGCCTCAACCTTCTGTCTTTCTTTTCACCCCCCTGCTCCAACTTGCAGTGTGCTGGCTCTGGCCCTCCCACCCAAAGGGCTTTCTGGCAGCAGTAGCTGCAGCTGGAAACCAAAGCTTGGACCTGTTTTTCCAAGGGATTCAGCATGCCCAGCTGCAAGGGTCTGGCGGTACCAGCAAACATGGGCTGGATCAGGGGTCCCAGTGTGCTGCAGGTGGCAAAGATGTCACCAACAAAGCCATCCCCTCTGCCTGCTTGTGCACAGAGCAAGCTGGTGCCATGCGGAGATGCCTTACTCTATGCCACTATGATTGAAAGGCGTTTGGGTAGGGGTGCAGGGAAGCTATTATCAAAGTGATACTTGGTCAGGGGATTTCCCCTTTCCTTTCACTTCTCTCCAGCTGCGGAAGGGGTGGGGATAAGCAGGGACACTCACTGCTGCATGAGGAAAATTCCCCTGCTGAGGCTGATGAACCCGCCTGACGGGAGGCGGCTGCCGGTATTACGTGTTGTGCCGCATGTGTATCCGCCAGCCACAAGGTCCTGGCAAGGGGCCCCGGCTGGAATTAACCTGCAGTAACCCCAGGCACAGGGCAGCCTTGGCGGGGTGTGCCTGCCTGGC